AAAACACACGGTGATTTTCCCCCAGCCCTTTTGTTTCTTCAACAAATCTTTAAAGATTTAAAGAAATCTTTACCAAAAAAAAAATCTTTAAGGATAGAGAATGCTAAAAGATTTCATCTTATCTTAAAATAGGTTCAATACATTCCTTATGGGATAATCTGATACCAACATCAGTGGTCAAATTCACATGTTTACATACGTGCACACATATATATTAATATAAGTGTGCATGTACATTTATTCAGGTCTCTTTGGTTGCATCTTTGCAATAGGCTTGGAAATAAATAAGAAAAGAGATAAATATGTAAATGTGCATGACGTGCATGTATATGTACAATATTATTTTAATATATTATGGGAATTTTATAGAGTAGGATATTAGTGTGACTTTCTCACCTCACAGGAGAAAAATTATGAGTCTTTCTTCTCTTTGCCACACAGAGGATCAATCAAGAGAGCAGGGCTTAGCTTGATTATATACCCTCAACACAGGGATCTCTCTATCTCTCTGAACTTTTTAGCTGTGCAACTGGCTAAAACAGTAGATAGAGAGCTCGAATCAGGAAAATTTGAGTTCAAATTCAGCTTTAGATACTTACTGGATGTATGACCCTGAGCAAATCAGCTAAACTATATCTGCTTTAGTTTCATCATCTATAAAATGGGGATAATAATACCATCTACCACACAGGTGGTTTTGAGGATAAAATGAGATAATATTTTTAAGTCCTATAAAAATGCTGACTACATATTTATTGTATTTTCATGAGATTTTCTTCTACCCTTTCATTAAAATAAGCACAAGGAAAACTCTGCTAGTGTGTACATTGAGAGTAGAAGAGAAAGAAAAAGAAGACAGTACGTCCTACATTTAGCCCACTGCCTTCCAGGGAGACATGGCTACATATTTGCACATGAAAAGAGGGGCCCCTTGTATATACTATGCTAAAGTAATATTAATTACTTTGCTAGAAAAACCCGAAGAGGTCTTGGGTTTATCCTAAAATAGAAAGGGGAGCTATCCCGTGCATTTATTTTAATTAATTTATTTTTATTATTAATAATAATGATTAATAATTCAATAATATTTATTGTTTATTTAATAATTATTTATTTTTAATAATTTTAATTATCAAAATATTTAATAATTCATTATTTAATTAATACATCTTGTAAATAATACAATGGCAAATAATGATGGTAAAAATAAAACAGGTCACAAATTTTGATCTGTTGAAGTAAACAAAAGGCATTATATATATACATACGTATATGTACATATATATATATACTTCCTTCTTTAATACAGTAATACTGAAATCACTGAACCAAGAAGACAAAGAACAAAATAAAGAAAGAAAAAAGTAAATGTCCACCTGAATACTTACATTGGGTTTCCAAATATATTTTTATGCATTTGTAAAAAATCTTCCTAACACTTGGGACAAGGTTGGACAAACTTTTAAGGGCAAAAAAAAAAAAAATCACTTTTAGCTAGTATTCTCAGACTATAAATTTTTTAGGATTATAATACATGTGTACAAACATACATCTCATGCATAATGCATACATTTCATTTTGGAAATCGATGCCGTGAAGATTTTATACCCATCTATTGTCTGGATTAACACATTTGTATTATTTTATTCATACAAGTTAATGAGATATAATAGGAAGACCAAAGAATAATTTACCTCTAGAAAACCCTTCTGCACAGTGTGGTCCAGGAAACAGATTTAAGGTTTATAGGAATTATTATATATCTCTCCCACTACTGCATTACTACAATGAGGTTGCCAGATATTCTCTCTCTCACCTGAGAGTAAGAATTGACATTGCTATAGTGCTTTAAGGCATGTAAAGCACTTTCTTTATATTATTACATTTTATCCTTACAACTACTCTGTAATGTAGGTATTGTTATTATTATTATTATTATTATTCTCATTCTACAAACAAAGAAACTGAATTTAGGAGACTAGGGCCTGGTGAGATGAAAAGGAAGAGAGATGAGATGAAGACTAGGACAGGAATGAAATGTAGGAAGGTAAACATAGCAGCAGCAAGAAAGGCATCCTAGTGGGGACACTGTTTTGATACAAACATGAAGGTTACACCTATATTTTGAAACAAGGTTGGGATTCTGTAAGGAATTGCTAAAGATGGAGTGTGTTCCATATATAGGGGGTCACTTGGGCAAAGGCAGATGCTAGAGATTTACTCTCATGTATGAGGAAAAGATTTAGGGCCAGACTCACTAGAAAGAAGTATACAGAGATAAACAATTGTAAAGCAGGTCTGGAAAGGTGAGAAGCAGTTTGTGCAGAGCTTTAAATGCCAGGCCGATCAGTTTATATTTTATTCTAGAGGTAACAATAAGGAGCTGTGAAAGATTTTTGAGTAGGGGAGTAACATGATCAGATGTTTTAGGAATACCAATTTCGTGGCTGTTTGGAGGGTGAATTGGAAAACAGAAAGTCTGGATATATGGAGAAAAATCAGGAAGATAAGTGATGGTCTAGTTGAGATGATGAGGACCAAAAAGATGGTAGAGACTTTCTTAGTAAAGAAGAAGGTAAAAGCCCTAAATATGTATTTAAAGAGTCTACTGTGACTTGAGGGTCACCTTGGTTCCTGACTCTTAACCTACTTTTGAATTCCATAACAATCCTCTAAAAAAGCTTGTAATATTAGTTTGAAAATGGATATCTGACTCATACCTTATCACTTATCATATGAGCATCAAAGGCATAACCATACCATCATTTTAAAATGAATTAACTTCTATGTCTTAGAACTTTTTTCACTCCCTACTATCTCAGTAGCAGGAAATAATTTCATCGTGTAATGGTCACAAACAAGAATTCACTGGTGGCCAGTTGTTTTTCAAGGCCATTATACTACTCAAATATCCAAGCCAAACTTTCTTTTTATGAAATTATTTTGCTAATTATACTGACTATAGTGTCTTACAATACATTCTTTAGACTATGTTATTTTATTTAATATATTAAAAATTCTTTTGTTATGAAAAGCTAAGAGTTGAAATAGAATATTTTCCTCCTCTTTTAATGGAGGAAATAGAGAATGGAGTACTAGGTTTAAAAAAGTAATTAAATTATGAAAAGACTTGGCATGATCTCAATGGAGGCATGCTTTCTACATGGTATAAAGAAGGGTAGAGAATTATCATATAAAGATATGTATAAATGGAGCCCCATGGATCCGCACTGAACCAAAAATATTTAAATCAGAAATTAACCTGAAATCTGGGGAGAAAGCTCCCAACTTTTGTAAGTACAAAACATCTTATGCCTACATGTGGTTTAAAAGCAAATAACTACTACACTGAAGTTTAACATACTTAAGAAATAACTGGCCCTTCAGCAGTCAGAATCTGATTTTATGATTACATTCAGAAAATTTTAAAAATATTTTCGATATAAATTTTTAAGTATTCTATTATTGTTCAATCACTTCTCAGGTATGTCTGATTCATGATGACCCCATTTGGGGTTTTCTTGGCAAAGATACTGGAATGGTTTGCCATTTTCCTCTTCAGTGGATTAAGTTAAACAGGGTTAAGTGACTTGCCCAAAGTCACACAGCTAGTGTCTGAGGTCGGATTTGAACTCAGGAGTGAGTCTTCCTGACTTCAGGCCTGACACTCTGCCCATTGTGTCACCTACCTGCCCTATCACATTTCTAATAAGGATTGACTACAATTACAACCTCCCTCCCTTCCTCTCTCTCATACACACATACACTCCATTTACATGTTCCAAAATTCTCGAAACTTATTTTCTCCCTCATATTCAAGAAACCCCCAATCCTATCTCAAATGATGGCACCATATATAACGTATAATGTAGCTATATACTTTAATACTTCCGTGATCCATGATTTTTTAAGTGTGAGTACTACCCAATGATGTAGACTGCAAATGCTATAAAACTTAGCAGACAGTCACGAAGAGTTGCTACAACCAAATAATTGTTACCCTGCAGTCAACCTGATGAAAAGTCTCTCTGAATTTAGCTGACCTTTGAATATTAGACATAATCACAAAGCCATTAAAAAAAACCCTTCCCTCCTGGTTAAGACATTCCAGAGCTTGCATTCTAATGACATGACATAAATGCACACAGGTAATTTAGATTCCTATATTTAAGACTTGGAGCCAGCAGCATAATACAAATGGGATTTGCTCTTGGATTTGGAAGCACAGAAGACCTGGGAGATTCAACTTCCACATCTGAAATTCACTATCTGTTTAACTGTAGGCAAGTCACTTAACTTCTTATTGCCTCAGTTTCCTCATCTACAATGTACAAGTATCAAGAGTAATAGGTACGTAACAAGAGTTGTTATAAGGCTCAAATAAGAAAACTAAAATAAAATATTGTGCATTGAGCAAACCTTCAAACAATATATGCATTACAATTATTGTCATTCAGTAGAACGTAAGCTCCAGGGCAAAACTGGTTTCATTTTTGAAGTTCTCACAACAGCACCTAATAATGTCTTACACACAGTTACATGTTCATATTTATTGAGTGAACACTGAAAACTAAACTACTAATCACAACATGGAGGCATAGTACAAAATGCTTTGAGTAAATAAATTTGAGACAAAAAAATTTTAATTTAAATTTTCCACAACAAAGTTTTCAGCGTTAAGATGAAAATAAACACCTTTATTTACTGAAGTGGAAAATGTTAAAGGAATGATTATGGAGTCAAAACACTCCAGGAAAAATGTTCATTAACTAGTACTTAACATGTATCTTTCTTTTATAAAAGTCATTCGAAATGCCTCAAAAATATTGGGGCCTAAAAGTTTATCTATTTTTTATGGGCCAATTTTAAATGAAATTCTTTTGCACTATGTAGAATGCCAGTAGTTATAAAACATTGAAATCTTAAATATGATATATGCATATATACACATATATACATATATACATAAATATATAAAAATGTAAGGCATAGACAATTACCATGTTGAAATAAGAACGAATTTTGACTCCTCTAGCCAGGTCCCACACTATCACATTTCCATCATGGCCAGCAGAAAAAAGAACTCTAGGATCAAATGGGTGTGGTTCAAGAACAAATACTTCATCTTCATGGCCCTGAAAAATATATTTTTCAAGTTACAACCACTGACAATATAGCAAAATTAACAACGCAACTTTAATACAGCAAATATTTTAGAACACTTCCAGAAATTACTTTATCTTGATAAATTTCTTCAAATTTAGCTGGTAAAATAAAATAAAGATCTCAAATACTAAGCTATCAATCAATCACGATTAAGTACCTACAACAATGTGCCAGGTACCATGCTAAATTCTAGGGATACAAAAAGAGAAAAAAGACAGTCTCTGCCCTCAAAGAAACTACAGTCTAATGGAGAAGACAACATGCAAACACACACACACACACACAGCAATGCTATATGCAAGATGAAAAAGAAATAATTAACAGAGGGAAGGCACTAGAATTACAATTAAAACTAAGCTAAGATGATATAAATGTCCAAAGTCATATATCACATAGTGATGGAGGGCAGTAGTGTCAAACTCAAATAGAAATGACAGCCATTAAACCATGCATAAGATCCGTGCAGGCACATATTTATTAACTTAGAAAACTACACATTAACAATATCTGTTTTATTATATTTTTATTAATTTCCCAATTACATTTTAATCTGGTTTAGCCACTTTTGGGAGTGGTGTGGATGCTATGTTTGATGATTCTCATTTAGAGGATTATTTGTGTAATGCTCTTCCAAATCAACCAACAGCTGGACTTGACAACAGCACATCAGAAAAGGGTTATTTCTTCTGCTCCCTGCAAAGTTTCAATTCCCAACCCCATTTTTAGAAGTTCAGAGTAAAATGACAAGTGTTAATTTATTACTATGATTTCTTCGTTCCCTTGTTATATGTGTTCCAGGGAAATAGCATTTTGATATAAGCTAACTTAATAGTTATCTATTAATATTAAGTCTACTAAATTAAAATTGGAAGATTCTTCTTACCATGAGTACATGAATAAGTTGACCAGTATAAGAATTCCAGACTTTCAATGTCATATTATTAACAGCAGTTATAACAGTGTTGTCATGACGGTCCCATGCTACCATAGTTACTTTAAGTTTTGTGATTTTGTCTTCCACCCCTTGCAGGTTTTGTCTGAAAGTAATAAAAACATTATTTTGACCAAATGCTTTACATTAGGTAAAATGCTGGTACCACAGAAATCTGAATAAGTTTTATTATTGTTATTAACAAAAATGAACACTTATTTAGTAGTAATAATGTTGAAGAAAAATAGCTATTTGGATTTAAATTCAGAAAACTAGACTCATAGTTCAGCTCTACCACTGACTTTATGACCCAGAGGCAAATTACTTGTCTGCCTCACCTGCCACTTCCTACCCCTAAAGAAAAATTTTAAGATGCTGAATATAAGCAAGAACATTTGTGTTAAATACATTTAAGACTGGGATAGAAAAAACCCACTGGCTTATATCATAACTATCTCAGTATTTTAGATGGATCAGTTTTAAAGGGTTCCTACAGGTCAAAGAAAAAACTGACATTTTCACGTAAGAGGTTATTGCAATTACTTTTGTGAGAGGTGATGCGGGCCTGAATCATGGTGGTGGCTGTGTGAATGGAAAGGTTCAGATACAATAGATGAGAAGGTAGAAATGCAAGATTTGGAATTTTATCGAATATGTGGGGTAAAATCACTAGTTCTAAGTTTTAGAACTAGAAGAGATCTTAAACATTATTTAATCAAACCTTCCAATTTGAGGAATGAGAAAATCAAAGACAAAGGAAATGTAAGTGACTTAGACTTATAAGTAATAAATGGCAACACTGGGATTCAAACCCAGACCCCAAGTCTAGATGCAGCTTTCTTTCCACTTCATCATTTAATGATATTGTTCAGTCATGCCTAACTCTTCGTGACCCTAGGCATCATACTGTCCATGAGGCTTTCCTGGCAAAGATACTGGATTTTACCATTTCCTTTTTCAGTGGATTGAAGTAAAGAGAAGTTAAGTGACTTGCCCAGGGTCACACAGGTATTAAGTGCCTGAGGCTAGATTTGAAGTCAAGTCTTCTGGATTCCAGGCCCAGTGCTCCATCCACTGAGCCACCTAGGTACCTCTCCATCATACATACACCTGATCAAGAATACCTACTACACTGTTAACAAGTGGTTACCTAGTTTCTAAGCGAAAATTTCCATTATACTCCACCACACACTGATGTATCCCATACCACTTTTCGCCAACTTTAATTATCACAAAGGTTTTTTCTTACATCAATTTTAGCATAATGTATTAAATCTACTGTAACCAGTAATATATCTGAATGACCTATATCTAAGCAATTTTTCAAGTTTGATATCTTACCCTGCTGGACGAGTAGCCATATCTAACAAAATACTCTTCCATTCTTTTCTCTTAAACTGCCAAATTCGGGCTGTTCCATCACGACTCCCGCTTACAAACCTAGTAAGAAGAAAAACACAAATAGCTTTAAGCATTTATTTTCCTGACCTCTACTCTGTAAAATACCATACAAACATGTCTAGTCATATGCCTACATTTATAACACTAAATTGAAAAGTACTCTTAAAAATAATTCCCTAAACTTTTGAAAACTATTGATACTCAACATTTGCCTAACTTTTAATGTGAATTTACTGGTACCAGTAACTGGCACTGAAAAATCAAGCTTCAAAGGTGGTTTGGGACCATTCTTCAGTATCCTAGAATATTGGATGCAGCAAGCAACTTAGTTCTGCACCAAATTCTCTGTAGTTACTGGGGTCTGACATAAATGTCCAATACTATATCCCTTCATCTCTTCCTTCCAATAAAGAATGTAAGAGTAAATATTAAATTACAACTATGGGTTTTCAAATAATACACAAAGTATTTCTCTAACTTTATGTAATACATCATTTACAGGCAATATATAGGGTAAGACTCAAATCCCTGTAAAATAATGTTGAAAATGAATACTTCTTTCCCAACATAAACTAAATGAAGACACATTTGTAAGCATATGGATCTTTCCAAACTTCAGTATAACTTAAAGATATACATATATAATTGTCGTTTTATATTATAAAACAGGGACTACTGACATCATTTCTCATACAAAGAAATAAAATCTGTTTTGCTACTTAATAGTTAACAAAAAATTCAACTATTATTTTTTTTTATTATGGACCTGTGATGTCAAAAAGGTAAGAAATATCCAGGGTGGAAATTTTGTTCACTAATGCAGATCCCTAACTCACCAGTAAATTAGTCTTTATAATCTTTCTAGCACCGCAAAGAACCGCCTTCAGTTGTTAAGGCCACTCACTCTGATCTACCTAAGTATCAAATAATTAATTTCAAAGGAGCTTTAGAGCCACTGGGTTTTTTTTTGGTTTATGTAATTTCATAGTTTAAAAAGCTAAAAACTTATTTTTTGAAAAAAAAAAATATAAACAATAATTTTCTTACCTGCTACTAGTGTTTGAAAACTGGATGCTATCAACTTTGTCCTATAAATAAATGAAAGGAAAATAGAGCTTAATGTAACTGCCAAAGACATTTAATTAGATAAGGTAATTCTCATGTACTACTTACAGTATGAAACTCCAGTTCTGATATTTTCTCTGGCTGACCTGATCCAAAAAAATAAACTCTAATAATATGATCGGTACTTCCTGTGGCCAGAAACATTCCACCTATGAAAGGATCCAGCAAACATTTTAATGTAGTTTCATAACCTTTAAAAGTTAAGATTCTAAAATACTACAAACATCATCATGATCTCTATCATGAGACTAAATTTAAAATCCATACTTATTCATTTTCTTCTTGAACATATAATACTTAGTGAACTTTTCAAAATTTATAGAGCAAATGGTAAAAAAGATTAAAAATCTTTTAATCTCACTATATAAATGAAATTCAAATTGCAGTTTAAATGTATACCATATCATTTTGAAGTTAAAATCCAGACAAATAATTATAAACAGTATTGTGAAATTGGCATAGTAGCTTGAAAATATCTAAAACTTTTTATCAGATGAAAGTCAAAATATCTAAGAAAAGCAGTATTAGTAACACCATCACCTTTCTTCTAGTTATTCATAGGATCATAAATTTCTAAATCTAAAAGGATTTCAGGTCATCTAATGTAACTCCCTTTATTTATGGATCAGGAAAATTAAGGCTCAGAAAGGTTAAATGATTTCCTCAAGATCACACAAGTGGTAAATAGTAGAGCCATGAGCTGAAGTCCTCTGCTTCCAAATCTAGCAACTCTTTCCATCACACACTGTTGGTGATGCTGGACTTTACTTTGACATGTACTGTGTGCCTAGTTTCAGTAATAAAAGAATCTTGTTCATCCTAGGTTAATTAGAAGGAAGAATAAAGTAGAATTACAAGCAAAGTGTAAAATCATAAAGTAAAGCTTTCTTTATATCAGTTAACACTTTCATCTCTAAGGCCCATGTCTAAAATCCCTACATTCTGACTTCTCTTAAGTATAACCAGGAAGTTATTTTAACTGATGTGTGAATTTCACAACACATTACATCTTGTAGTACAAAATGCCTAAGTCTAAAAGAGGATGCAAAAAGTTAGTGCATTGCAACTGGTGTACCTCCCAATGAATTATACATGTCTATATTATTTAGCTACAAGGTACTTCCGAAGTTCAAATAAAAGAATTCAGTCTCTGTGTTTTAAATTCTTTTCTTCTTCTTCTTCTTCTTTTTTTTTTTTTTGCTAGGCAATAGGGTTAAGTGACTTTGCCCAGGGTCATACAGCTCACTAGTATGTGTTAAGTATCTGGAGGCCAGATTTGAATTCAGCTCCTCCTGACTCCAGGGCCAGTGCTCTATCCACTGTGTCACCTAGCTGCCCCTAAATTCTTTTCCTCTAATAGAAAGGTGTTACAGATATCTTAATCCAAGGTTCCAGTCTTTTCTTTTCAAATTTGATCAATGCTGAACTTTGTGAATGCCCTTTCTCTATAATAGTAATCTTAGCTAAAAATCACAGTAATCTAAGCATCTAACTTGGATTAGAAAAAATCCAAAAATGTTCCAAACTCCTTTGCATTCATCTAAGTTGACATCTAATCCCCTTCCTCCACCCTAAAGGGGAAAATAATAAAATTTTTACAAATGTAACATTATGTATTTCATTACCAATTATGTTTAAAAACAAAAAAAAATTTAAATAGAAAAGAATAGGAAGGAAAGCTAAAAAAGAGAAAATCCTACCAGCACTAAAAGAAGAACAGATCATTTGGACTCCAGGTCGAGGACGTTCTGTAAATTTTGTGGGTCTTTGACTACAATGTAAAAAAATAAACAATTAAAATTATCATTCTAAAGGGATCAGTACTACCAGAAATTGTCTTAGATTTCAAAATGAATACATGAGGACAGAAATTAAACAAGAAATAACAGATGGCTGCCCAACTATAAACAATTTAGAATCATTATATCTCATGATTGGATTTTGTGGAAATCCTACCATTGATGTTTTTAGGAATTCCTGATTACACAGTAAATTTTGCCATAATCACTCACCAAGAATGACTCCAAGGTCATTGGCATGGGAGACACATAACTATTGCTTACATTCACTTTTAATCCAATTTGACATGTGAGTATGCCATATGGCACAATAGTGTAACACACTACTAATGCAATAGGAAAACTACTATTTGTGAAATGGAAAAGGCCATTTAAAAAGACTACCTTTTTGATTGTTTTTCTTCTTTTTGTCTGAGGGGGAGTATAAGGGACAGAAGAGAACACTAATGATAGTTACCTCCCCCCAAAAAATTTAGAAAAAAAGCTCCTTGAAGCTTTCCTTTTTTTAAATGCACAGAATACAATACAAGGAAATACAGAAGGAAACAGACAAGCAGGACAGCTTTGAAAATAAGAAGTTGAATTTACTATTTTTTTTTAATTTACTAAGTACTTCTTAAAAAAATAAAAGCTATACAGAAGAAATTCATGTTTTCATATAGGTGTGTGCACATATGTGTGTATACATACATATATATTTCCGTATTATTTTTTTTCTGTTCTATGTTATAGATGAAAGTAACAACTACTACTAACATTTATTATTTCATTATATCCTCATAACAACTCTTGGTGGCAGGTGCTACTACTATCCCTATTTCACAGTTGGGAAAACAGATATTAAATAACTTGCCTGGAGTCACACAGCTAGTTAAGTGTCTAAGGCTGGATTTGAATGCAGGTATTTCTGAGTCCATTAAATGGCACTCTATCCACTGTACTACCTAGCTACACTTTTTGGAATTGGTTACGTTAAGAATGAAAAAAAATTTAAAGACTACCTTTTATTAAAGGCTTTTTCTTCTAGTAATCATAAGATCACAGATTTAAGCCTAGAAGAAACTTTGGTCATGTATTCCAAATCCCTGGCTTTATGGATCAGGAAACTGAAGATTAGAGAGGTTCAGTAACTTGCCAAAGGTTTTAAGTAGAAGGGCCACATTACATAACAAATTTTACATTAGCTACTACAAAATGTTGTTTTTTAACAGAAATAAGTTTAAATATCAAAAAGTAGAGACAAAACTACTTGTCACCAAAATACCAAAACATACCCACTGAACAGCAGAAAACAAGGAGATTCAATTTAAACTTACTACATCACAATTATCCTATTCAAAGTCTAAAAACCCCACCCTCACTGCAGTAGTTCTTAGACCCATGGAAGGATTAAGGAGTTATTTTAATGGTTCACAAATCAGAAAGCAAATATGAGGCAGCTAGGTGGAGCAGTGAATAGAGCACCAGGCCTGAAAGACTACTAACTAGTCTTTGTGAATTCAAATCTGGCCTCAAACACTAGCTGTGTGAGCCTAGGCAAGTCATTTCTTAAAAAAATAAAAGCTGTTTGCCTCAGTTTCCTCATCTGTAAAATGAGTTGGAGAAGGAAATGGCAAACCACTCCAGTAACTTTGCCAAGAAAATCCTAAATGGGGTCAATAAAGTCAGACACTGAACAACTGTTGGACTGAACAACAAAGCAAATATACCTCTATAAGTGGATAAAGTACTATGCTTTTTAATCTATATTACTATTTTTAAAATTTTACTTTTATTCAGAATTTAACCAATACCAAAAATTTTTCCATATTTACCACGGATAAGAAAAAGAGGCTATGTGGGAAAAAATTACATACAACTTACTTTATTTAAAATACATCATAAATTCAACACGTTACTTTCAAAACTGTTTTCCATTCTCAACTTCCTTTAGTTTTCTTCTGTGCATTGAAAAAAATACTTCAAATTACCCTCTTTTTTTCTTTTCTATTTTGCAACTCCTATCTTTGTGTTCACCCTCCCTCACCAAATCCTATCCCTAAATATAAAAACACAATTATTGTAATAAATTAAGCATAATCAATATATTATTGTTGCAAATGAAATAGATTCTACTTTGAATGCTAAAATATGAATTCATTTAAAATATTACTAACTTCAAACTAGTGCCACTGTGTAATTTTTCTTAAACCAACAAATCAACCATAGAACCATAGTATACAATTACTATAGGAATCATGTGGTAAGTCTATGAAATTTTTTCAAATCTAAAGATGCATGGGAATCATTAGTCTGTTGTATAAACTGTAAAACCTAGTTAAGAATTATCAGCCTTCAAATTTAATGTTATGATGATTTAATCATATCCTTTTGTACTATGTATTTTACTACAAGTAATAAAATTCTTATTTCTCATACCAAAAAAAATTAAAGAATTTCAACTGTCTTGCTGAAATTTAACAAAATTAAATTTTAATCACAGTACTTACTCCAACAGACATAGTATACTAATTGTTAAAAGGATTCTGAAACTTAAAGCTTTTCTCAGAAATACATGAAATGAAAAATGTTCTTTTGAAGAATATAATTAGATCATCAAATTTGATCATTTCAAGCTGCTTCTACATTCAGAAATTATCCATTATCTACCTATGCCATGCAAACATATTTTTTATTCAATGAACTATTTGAAAATATCACTGAAGAAACAAAGTTTCCTAAAAATTTTTCTTTCCTCTGAACACTAAATGGAATAGGCCTGTCTATAGGTTCAAAATAAAATTTTCTACAATAACCATAATAATTTTTTTTAGTATTAGACTGAGGACACTATATAAGATATTAATCATAATGAATACTATAAAAAAAGAAAACAAATATTTAAGAAAATTTTATTTTAAACAAATTCACAATTTTATTTCCTTAATATTTATTGACTTTCTTACTATACATGAACTAAAACATATAAGTTGAATCAGAAATCACTAAGATTCACCTATAAAAATTAATTTTCTCATAACAAAAACTTATCTACTTTGGTGGTACTGAGATACATTAAATCTAAAGTTACATATTGTAAATTCAGACTCTCATAATGTAAGAGCTAATAAGACAAATCCTTATTGCCTATCTTTTGACTGAAATTTGGTTAAGAATGAACATAAAGGCATTTATGAGATGCTTTCTTTTTGTCACGCATTATGGTAAGAGGTTTGGTCATCAAGCATCATATATCTGTTTATTCAAGTTAGGCATAAACACCTCTAGTTTATTCAATTCAGTAGAGATTAAAAACGGATTTTGTATTTTTTTCCAGGATTCACATGCTTCTTTCCCTCATCTAGCTGTGCCTGGGTCTGCTTCCTTCAACTCAGTGCACTCTTGAAACAGCTTTCCAAACTAATCAGCTAGTCTGGGGCTGGAACTTCCTAAACTCCACATTATCAGGTAGGAGGTGTTACCCAGTAAAAAACGTAGTAGAGCGCTGTTGTTTTTTTTTTTAATCACCTGTTTAACCAATTATCTATTTTACTGTTTCCTTCAGTTAGTGTGAATGACAGTTGACCTAATAGATTTATCCTGCTTTCTTCCATACCCACAAAACAAAAAAGGTTAGCTTCTATTTAGTAATTAGATACACCACTTATCTGGGAAATCTCGGGAAATCAAAACTATAAAAACAAGAGGGAAAAACAGCTATCACCAAGCTCATATACTTTATTCCACAGGAGAAAAATGACACCCTCAGGCCAGAACTACTGACTTGTTATTATGCAGAAACTTAATAGCGCTAGTATTTAGCAAGCTTGATTAGCTGGTTTCCTGAGGCAACTTTCTATTTTTTTCCCCAAGTTACATACTACATGTATATTGCTGGAGTAAATAACTGTTGGTGGAAGAAATAAAAATATATAATACATTAAAGAGGAATAAGATGGCAGAAAATACCAACCAGAAAAATCATAGCAATCTAAAGTTATTCAGTGTAGGGACAAGGAGCCTCAAATTGTCCCTGAGAACATTACAATATGCTATTAAAAATGAAGGCTCTGAGTCAACTAGAAAAGGTGAAAAACACATTTAATATTATCATATCCTGTTTTAAAAAAAGCAAGGAAGAATATAATAGATTTGGGGAAAACGCCATTTAAAAATAGTTAAAATTCTTTTCAGTGCTTCAAAGGAAAACCTGGAAAATCTCTTTATGTGGAACACCTCATTCCCCAATGATACCAGATAAATGAAGATAGTGGCCTAAGTTATGACAGCCTTCATGTACCTGAAGAAACAAACTTTAGGAAAAGAGAAAGTTCTTTAAAAAAATAATTGTGATAAGGCAAATCAAAAAGGGGGAAAACTAATGTTCAAACTTTTATTTTTGTTTTTTTAAGACCATATCTATTGACTTTTGGACACTAGCCATTACCCCTGCACTTACTCCTTAGTCTCATTTTCTATTTCAAATTTTAATGGAAGTCTCCATAACCATAAAAAGACTTGTTTATCTTTTTTTTACCCCAACACCTAGCACAATGAGTTATATATAAAGGGCACAAATCTCCATTTTTGAAATTATGGATTTCCACCATGGACATCATTAAAATTAAATTCTTTTCTACTAATAAAATTGAGATTCATGTTTAATTTATCATGATTTTGAACATAAAACATTACTCAAGCTTGATATGGCCAACAAGTACAGTTATTCCACAACACGACTTTCCTCATCATGGTTTTGATATATCCTGGGTCAGCATAAGAAATTAAATGGGATTTTTTTTTTTTGAGTTTTGCAGAAGCCGCAGGCAACACACTAAGATCAGCAGATGACATAGAAAAAGTTTAGAAACCTGGAAATGCATAAAATATATGTATATCATATTGTATAATATCAATATAGTTTATCTTTTAATATCATAATAATTCAGACATCTCTGGTACAAAGAGAGGGCCCAAAAATTTTTATACAGATTCTCTAGATCGAGGGAGACACAACTTCTCTAACCCTTATGCTGTGGAAGGGATAACTGTAGTATATTATGGTTTTCTAAACAGTCTACAAGCAATCTATTGGGTTTAATATGGAAGTTACTTAATGTGTTGGGATGGTCAGCTTTTATACTCCAATTCCATAAATTTCATTAAGGCTACTTATGACAGTTGTTGCATGTCTCACAGGTGCTTCACTCTGTACTACTTTTAAATGGTCACGAACTGCTATGACATTAACTTACCCCGGAATTTTGTGTGTTGTATGTTTATGTGTTTGAGGGGCAGGGCAGTACTTATTTAGATATGATAGTCAATCTCCATATGTACCTGTAACTTGTTCCATGGTGACAAAATGGCCACCTCTAGCACTGAATCTATTTCACAATTCTATTCTAACCAAAGGAAAGTTTCAACAAAGAGGCACTCTATTACAACAGGAAGAAAGGGTAAACAAAATAGTATTTTCACCCCTGGTTTAGTGAAATTAGGCATCCTAGGAAATACTGTTCTAATGGTTTCTCTAAATCAGAACTAAATATCAGAATGCCTATATTCGACAACAGAATCAGCTAGTTTGATACTTCCTAACGTGCAGTTAGAAAACTATTTTACACTAAAAGAGTTCTAAAATGAAAGGTAACATGAAAGGAACTGGAAAAAAAAATAAAAGCATGAAATAAGGTAAAAATGATGAAACACTAGCTATGAGCCATGAAATAAAAACCAGCATATATTTAAGAAAAAAGAAAAAGGAACAAAGGTCCATTTTATTACTTGGACAAAATTTTAATTTACTAAAATGCCAGTTTTTGGCAAGGAAAAAGAATTGTTTTTATAGTTTACTTTTTTAAATACTTAAAAAAATGCAATCACTAAACAAAATATGTCATTTCTATTGCACATTAAAAAAACTGACTTTATTTTAAGGGTTCCAGCATCCCATAGCCAAAAACATATTGTGCCATCTGCCCCTGTAGAAGAGAGATATCTCTTTGAGCCACTGCATAACGGAGAAAACTGAAAAACAAGAACAGAAAGAAAAGAAAATCTTTATTTGAACACAACATTTTCTTCAAATAATAAAATTTATAATGCCCGTTTGCCACCTTAAAAATAGTAACAAATAAGTTAAACAGTACCAAAAAATGAACATTGAAACACTCAAGTAAAGTCCACCAAATAACACAGAATCATTCATATATTTAAAGCTAGAAGGGGCCTCAAAGATTTTGCAAATTAAGAAGCTAAAGAAGCACAGGGAGACTGTCAGTCAATAAGCATTTATTAAGTAAGCATTTACCATGTGCTAGGCACTGTGCCAAGTGTTAGGGATACAAAGGAAAGCGAAAGTATGGTCCTTGCCCCTAAGGAGTTCACATTCTAATGAATAAAAATAACATGCAAACAACTACATAACGCTATATACACAGAGTAAATGGGAAATAATCCCAGAATAAAGACACTACAAGTGGTGAAGACTGGGAAAAGCTTCCTGCAAAATGCAGAATTTGGGCCGAGTCTTAAAAGAAGCCAAGGAGGTCAAGAGTTAGGTAGAGGCAAAGAGGGAAAGCATGCAAGGTATGGGAGGACAGTCAGTAGAAAGGCCGAGAACTGGGAGACGGAGTGTCATATATAAAGAAAATCAAGAAGGCAAGTAGGTGTTCCTGAAGAGTAAAGTACATGAAAAGGAGAAAAAGTGTAAGACAACTGGAAAAATTGAATGGGTTAACGTTGTGAAGAACTTTAAATGCTGAATGTAACATTTTACATATGATCCTGGAGGCAACAGGAAACCACTGAAATTTATAGAATCAAGGAGGATAGAGAATATAAGATGTCTGTCTTTGGGAAAATCACTTTGAGGGCTGATGAATAGGAGGGAGAGATGAGGCAGAGAGATCAATTAGGCTACTGCAATAGTCCAGGTGCAAGGTGCTAAGAATTTGTAACAGGGTTATGGCTGTGAGTGGAAAGAACAACATGAGTATGAGAGAAGTTTCAAAGGTAGAAACAAGACTTGGCAAAAGACTAGATATGTGGAGTGAGTATGAGAGAGAAGTTGAAGATAATTCTAAGGTTGCAAGCCTAAGTGACTTTTGGAAGGTGGTACCATCAACAATAAAGAAGCTGAAGAGGGGAGTGTTTGGGAGAAAAGATGTGTTCTGTTTCAGACAGGCTGAATTTGAGATGCCTATCAGACATTCTGTTCCTCATGTTCAAAAAGCAACATGTGATACTGGAAAGTCAGGAGAGGGCTAAAGGCCGTCTGAAGATCTGGGAATCATCTACATAGAGATGATAAAGTCATGCTTGGCAGAGCTAAGACAAAATTACAGTATTTTAAAAAATACAGACTTTTAAAAAACGGGACAAAAAGCATATCTATTTCTCAGTTCTTACTGATCTTCATAATTAGATAAGAAAAATTAAAAGAACATAAATCTGATTTCTTTCTGGGGTATTATAATTTTAACAGATTGACCTACTTTGAGGATATTTATAGTGACTGAATAAATTAATAATTACCTGTAGTGATGTTATGGATGCACTGTGACCCTGAAGAACTGCCAAAGGAGCACATGTTCGTAGACACCACACTCGAATCATTTTATCACAGCTTCCAGCAGCTATCATGGTGTTTTCGTAGTTCACAGCCATATCTGATATTTCAGCTGCATGGCCTCTTAAAGTAGCCAACAATCTTCCATCATCTGTTGCCCAGATTTTTACAAGGCAATCGTCAGAACCCTTAAAAAAATCAGTATTATAAATCTGAATTTTGCTTTCATTTAATTTTATGTAAAACATTAATATTTACAATAATCCACTTCTCAAAAAGTACATTTTCAGATACCACTGAACATAAATTTTTTAAAAAATTGTTATATCATCTGAATACCTGTCATAACAAAACCTAAAAATGTAATGATGAAATGAATAAGAAACTTGTGGTTAAAAAAACTTACAGATTTTCTATTACTCTAAGAAGCCAGAAACCAAGGAGTTTTATTTCATAATTGTCCACATACATCTACTTACACATTTTTTGTGGGTGGGATTTAAGTCTTAGCTGTCATTAAAAAAAATAAGTTACATTAGCAAATAATGTTTAATAATTAAGCTCAGAAAAGGCTTTTTAAATAGTATCTATATCTCTCTACATATAAACACACACACAAAAAAGATACACAGACATAGGCTGACCAAAAAAAAAAGTTTGAAATGGTTTTATTCTAATGATACATGTTAAAAGTTCTCCCCAAAAATGTTTTAGGCATTTACATATAGATCTAGATTAGTGAGAATAATGCATCTCATGAAGTGGTCAAAGTATTCAAATTTAAACTATTAAAATGGAAAACATTTTATGGCACTCTGTATGTCTTAAGCCATGTTCCAAATCTTGTTCTTCTGGTGCTGAAAAAGTGGTCTTTTCTTGGACCAAATCCATAACAAACAATAGGTTTACGCCAAGTTTCACTGTAAGTCACATGTTCACCCCTCCCAAAATAGTAATAAACATTCTGATACCATTGTATAATTTCTTTTCAGTATTTCTTCAACTGTCATAGATCTTAACATCCACAGATCTTAACCTGTAAAATGCTTACCTCTATTTTCCTATAAATAGTCCATAAAGGATCTACTCAAAACCAGGAAGCTTCTTAGAGAAACTAATGTACCACTTGGATTATTCATGTCTTATATCCCACTCATGATACACAACAAACCCACCTCATTTTTCACTCATACAAATCTTTAACAATGTATTTTACACTTGTCCTTACAAGCAAATGATCTTTGATAACATGCTGTGGGCAGCTTATGTCCACTATGCATCATCATCCTTTGAGCTTTATTTTTATTGCTCTGAGAGAATGGTATTCAATAATATGCATTCATAGAACACTGATCTTGAAGAGAAGTATTGTTTTTTTTTTTTTTTTTGAGGCAATTGGGGTTAAGTGACTTGCCCAGAGTCACATAGCTAGTGAGTGTTACGTGTCTGAGGCTGGATTTGAACTCAGGTCCTCCTGAATCCAGGGCTGAAGAGAAGTGTTTTTGCAGTATTGAACCGTTTAGCCAGATTATGACATGTATCTAGCCAGGTAGCTTATTGAATCAGGTCATCACTATGCATGCCTTGAACAATGGCTACAATAGTCAAACTGGGCCCAGAATTGATTAGGAAAAGATTTGACTGGATTGCCTTTGGCCAACTATACAGAAGAGAGTTGAAAGTCAAGATGTGAGAGATATTTGAAAAACAATATCTGTTGGATTTTTTGATAGTGAAAATACTGAAGGTAGATGAATAGAGGAACGAGAAAACTAGGCAACAGGGCACAAAATTTAAGAAATCAGCTGCTTTCATGACTTTCTCCAGCTACCATTAGCGAAGAAATTGGATATAGTAGGAACCAGAAATAAACATAGGTCACAGAGTTAAAAAAAAAAAAAAAACATCAGGAGCAAGGGATTCTAAGGCAGCAGCTAATAATACATTAAAGCAGCAAACCATATACGTAGGTGAATGTGTAAGCAAGAAGTTAGAGTTGGAAATGAACTAAGACAAGAGAAATGTGTCAAGGTAAGAGCAAAGAGCAGAGCTGATTTGAGTGAAAGAGTAGAACAGGTAACATATTGGGGAAAAATATGAAGGAAGAGAGATGGTTTGATTTTATTACAATAAATGCAATAGAACTCAATGATGTAGTGTTTGATAAGCTATAAACAAATTACTTAAGAAAGAACTACACATAAATACTGCTGGGAAAATCAGAAAGCACTCTGCCAGAAATCAGGCTGAGAACAACACCTTACATCATATCTCACGATAAATTCAAAATGAATGTGACCTGAGTATCATACCATTAAAAAAAAATAAAAGAAGCATATCACACCTTTCATAGATGTGAGTAGGAGATAAATCCTTAACCAAACAAGAGACAGAAGGAGTTACAAGAGATAAAACAGATAATTTTGATTACATGAAATTGAAAAACTTCTGTAAAAAAAAAAGGAAAACGGTCAAACTGGAAAAAAAAATTACATCAAATTTCGCAGAAAAGAATTTGGTATCTATGATATATAGACAACAGACAACCAAAAATCATTCCCTGATAAGTAAGTGGCCACTGGATATGAAAAAACAATTCTCAAAAAAATAACTAAACTATTAATAACCACAAGAAAGAACGTTCTAAGTCTCTAATAAGAGAAATGCAAACCAAAACAACCCTGAGATTTCTCCTCACACCCAGCATATTGGCAAAGATGACAAAAGAGAAGTCATTGTTGGAAGAGGTTGTAGGAAGATGGACACATTAATGTATCAGTGATGGAACTATAAATCTGTCTAACAATAATATGCACAATGACAACAATGTAAATGAAGAGAACAACTCAAGCCAATAAAAAATGAATGTTGTAAAATTATGAAGAAGACATGCTGACCTGAAACAGAGGTGGGAGGGAGGTTCAAGGTTACAGAATATTTCATGCATTTTTAGACATCCTCCAAAATAATGGTTGGTTATGCTATTTTCTCTCTCTCTCTCAACATCTGATATGTGGGAGTGAAGAGATACTGGGAGAAAAGAATTCCCCAATCATTTTGAAAGGATCCTCATCAGAAAAGTACCAGAAATGTCACAGCCAAGATCCAAAGGCATGAAATCAAAGAAAAATGTCTTAAGTGTACAGGAAGAAGCAAAGCAGTTCAAGTACCAAAGAACAATAGTGAAGATCTCTAAAGACCTAGTACTTTCTGTTATAAATGAAAGGAGAACTTACAATAAAACATTCTAAAAAGCAAAAGACACAAGGCTTACAAACAAGAATAACAATGTGGAAAGCTGAGTGTCATCCTAAAGAGTAAAATGTACAATTTCAAGCATTTCTGAGGAATATAGCAGAGTAGGAATTTTGAAATATAAATATAAGAGTCAAGAGAAACCAAGAAAGGTAAAATTATCAGAGCTTGCATGGAGCTATATGACAATGTACTATTAACATTCTAATAGGGTAAAGAAGAAAGGTGTTCCTTCAGAACCTTAATGTCTTCAAGGGGTATTAAAGGAGTTAAGAAAAAGAGAGAACATGAAGGTAGAACAGTTATTTTCTGAGGAAAAGAAAAGAGAAGTTAAAAGAAATACACTATTATGGAAAAGAGGAAGAAGGTGGAACTTGCAATTTATTATATTTGAAATGAATGAGAACAGTATTCATACATAATAGAATGGGAGGGAATAGGTATAAAATGAATTGTTCTCTGACATACAAAGGGCTGAAAACACACACACACACACAAATATGTTAAATTCAATACAGCCAGTGTTCCCCATTTCTCACCATCTACACTGCTTTTGGATCTCTTTGAGAGGACTTTCCCATCATACCCCATCACTGCATATGTAACATTTATCTACCACCTCCCTCTATAATCTTTGCTGCCTTCACCCAATGGATTATAAGCTCCTTGAGGGAAAGGATGGTCTTTTTTTTTTAAAACTTGTATTTTCATACCCAACATTTAGCACAGTGACTAGCACAAAGTAGATACCTATTATATGTTGACTGACTGACAGAACAACAAATGGAATTAAGGAGACAGAGGTCAAGGAATAACGCAAGGAGGAAATAACTGCAGGGAAAACAAACTTCCTCCTGAACCTAAAAAGAGTATTAAAAGAGAAAAGTAAAGAATTAGCATCCAAGAGCACCTTTGATCGTTTCTTGGACCACTAGGGAATAGCTGAGCAAACTGTGCTAAGAAGAAATTGTGTGTAAGAAACTGACAAGACTATTTCAGAGAATTCTGAGTAATATGAAAAGACACAGAGGTAAGGGAGAAGAACAATGAAAACAACCAAGAGAGTACACCACAGGAATTTAGGGACAGGAATCCAAGAAGGGTTTTGCAGTCAAAGCAGCATCAATACCTGAGGACAAAGTATCAATCTTTGGGAACCCAGTCAAGTTGTATTTACATGGCTGTGTCATCTGGTCATGAACTTGATAGAACCAGCAGTTTTTAAGCTTGCTCACCCAAGACCAAGGAGGCATGGGGGACAGTATGGCTCCTGAGATATTCGTGGTAAAAATGCTTGTATATTTGTTCTTGTACATCTTTTAAGAAAACCTAATTGAAAATTTTTGGAAGCAGAGCAAAAATGGCAGAGCAGATAAAGCACTCAGCTCTCTCAACATTCCCCTCAGAACAACTAATGCCTCAAATCGAATTCTGGAGTGGCAGAGGCAACAAAAGGTCAGAGTGAAACATTCTTCCAGTCCAAGGTAACTTAGAAGTCAGAAAGAGAGATCTGTGTCAAGGGAGTGAAGGCCAGCCTCAAGTCTACATGGATGAAACACCAGTGGTGGGCCTAGGTGGGGGCAACAGAAATAGCAGTAAAGTTTTGGAAGCTCTCAAGCCAGAGACAGTAAGGGAACCTAGTTTTTAGTCAGAATGAGAGACTTTTACAGGAGACTCCTTTGCTAACAATACCCAGACATTATCTGGCAACTCCACTGCCTATACCCACACATAGTTCAAGGGCAGAGAGGGGCACCTTAGGTCAAGAGGGATCTGAAGCCCTCTGGAGTAGTATCATTTTTAGTCACAAGGGAGGAAGCATCTTGAAGGACAGTATCAACTACAATCCCAAGGGATCAGGGGCCCTTTCTGGGTAAGGACCAGAGTGAAGATCAGGAGAGCAGTGACCACACCTCTCCCTGGATCACAACAC